AGAAGTAAAAAAATCTGAATTAGAAACATAACTTGGGTAGGAAAAAGTGCCAGCTATCATAGAATGGTTTGGGTTAGAGGGACCTTAAAGATCTCATTCCAGCTCTTCTGCTGTGTCTTACACTAGACCAGGTTGCTCAGGGCCCCATCCAGCCTGGCCTTGAACACTGCTAGGAATGGTGCATCCACAACTTCACTGCTTTCATAGAAAATTCTGTGCATGCTGCATAGATTGACATGGAGTTGTTTTTGTGGTTTATTTTGCCTTTGAACTTTTTTAAAATAACTTGAAAGTCCCCACAATTAAAAATCTACACCCACAGCCAGGGGTTAAGATGTATTAGAATGCCGTAAAGAGTTGTGACATGTTTTAATACAGTTGTTTTGTATTCAGCCTGGTGGGAGTGTTATGCTCAGATACTGTTAGTATGGACTTACAGTACTAACTTACTGTTAGTATGGTGGGATGCTTGGCAATTTGGCAGACCTGCTGGCAGCTAGGGGTGACTGGGGGAAGAAAGAACAGAGTAACTTCTTATTTAAAAATCTCCCTCTGCAGAAATGGCAGATTAAAGGGGGAGATCCTACCTCATCTTCTTGCTTACAAGCCATGTTTGGATCTCTGCTGTTTTAAAGAGTGAGTAAAAGTTCCAATTGTACAGGTGTTTATTCTAGAGAATAATACAGAATGTTAACGTTCTATAATTGCAGGCTAAATTTGAAGACAATGTGGCTGTATTTTACACTTGTTACCCTGGTGCAATATTCTTTTAGGCTGCAGCATGTTTTTGGGTAGCAGTAATATTTATCTGTACTTTATGATAGGAGAACAAGGTTTTCTTTTCAGTTTTCACAGGAAAAGAAACTAGAATGCTATGTTAAAGTACAAAGTAGATTGTTTTCCCTGAAATGTACTCCACTTGGAGCTGACTGGGTTTTTCCCCTAGAGTTACATGAAAAAGAAGCAAGGTTTCACTGAATGTCAAAACAAATCATAATTGTAAGATGTTAGAATTTTTTTTTTTTTGCTTTGTCAGGGTTTCAATCAAACATTGATTGAAACACGAATTGAGTTTCACAAATTTTGCCTTAAACACCTTTTCTAAAAATACACTTTTATATTTTCTTTACAGGGAACTCATAAAAACCTATCCCTTAAAATACAAAGATTGGTTTGCTAGATTAAAACACCTTGTTTAAGAAAGGATTTATCTATTACTGAATATAAATCAGGTAACTGTTGTATTGGATCAGTGTGGGTTTAGGGAGGATTTTTCAAATGTGTATTTATTTAACCATTATCAGAAGTGTGAATAGCTGTGGCTTGTTCTCAAACATTAGTTGTGCCTCTGCATTTCTGGTAAGGTTACATGAAAAGTGAAAGAGGAGAAGAAGGTGGGGTGGAGAAAGAGGCAGTTATGAAAGAAACATATAGGTATTTTAGCTACGGTTGTTTGTAATGAAAAGCTGAGCAAAGTTAATCCATTTACTGATGTCTGTAGTTTTCAAAATTATTAGCTGTCAGCACTGCTCTTGGCAGTACAATGTCTTTCTGTGTTCCCCTAGAAGTTTATACCTAGAGTTACAGCACAATTAGCAAGGAAAAAAAAAATCAAATAAATATTGTCAGTACAGACTTTTGGGTTTGTACTTGCTCTGTTCAGTTCAGTAATGCAAGTCTGCCAGCCACCTTCAATTCAGTCATTTGTTGCAAATGCTAGTCTCAGTTTCTGTATTTTCTTCCTATGAATTATTTGTCCATAAAGTAGTGTTCTGTTCTTCTAAATAGAAAAAAACACTGTCTAGAAACTGGTTAGAAAGATGAGAAAATAGAATCTTGGATCTTGTTTCAGATTTCCTTAGATGTTTTGGGGTGTAAGGTTTGCTTTCAAAGGCAGCTGAAATCTTAGTAACTAAAAAAGTAGGAGTATTACTTACCTCTGACATAACTTTCAAGAAACTTCACAATTTTTGTCATTCATCCTAGGCATTAATCTTAGTGTCAATCTCATGTTGTAGAAATGAATTTATTTATTTTTAGAAGGATATTGTTAATGAAAGAAGTCAGGGAGGAGAACTTCAGAGGACAAATAAGTCCCATGGCATATGATTTTTCTTACATCTGTGTTTCCTGTTTACTAGCAAAGTATGTAATCTTCATGAAGACAGGATACAGAATCTTTATCTGATGTTAAAAGTTTTGTAGATTTCTCTGCTTTATAGTCTTGAGTCATTCACTGTAAAGATTTCATAGGAGTCCTCAGGCAGATACAGTTCTGTGAAGTATTTAAACAGCCTGGAACAGTGACTAGGCAGTAATATACTTCCTGGGTTTTTTACAAGCATGTTCAGCCATGTGGGTTCATTAGCCTGATCTATGAAACTACCATCACTGGGGAGAAGGGGGGGAAAGCAGCAAACCTGAAGCCCAGCCTGTGAAAGCAAGTCATACGATTTTGAATCCATGCTGCAGTTTGACTTAGGTTTCCTGCTCTACCCTGTTCCCGTGGAACAGCAGCTACAATAGCCTGGTAAGGCAGAGGAAGTTTAGGATTCAAAGACAGATAAGGGAAGCCAGGAGTGTCAGAAATAGTTAATATCTGTCTCTGAAAATGCTTTTATCTTCAGTTGTTGCACAAGTGAGGTGCTGCCCAGAAGGTGTCTCACTAGAGTTTTGATTTTGTATTTCTTCAGAAAGCAGTTGACTTGCTGCAACGAATTGACTGTATTTAGTGTATGTTATGGGGTTAAGCACTTTCAGAATAAACTTGTGTTATTATGTGTTCAATTTCTAAAATAATACAAGTTTTTTCATAGGAAAATTACAGGAAATTTTTGATTTATATTAACAAATTCAGTGTAGTCTCCCTTATAACTACTGCAACTGCTTGTACTTAGTTGGATTTGCATGTTTAGAGTTGTATTTTATTCTTATTCTAGGGTGTCCATCCTGTATCCTCAGTTACAACTCTCAAGTCAGGTAGAAAACTTGTTAGCAACTGCTGCCTTGACAGGGTAGCAAAGCTGGTTTTGTGCAGGAATGTAGGTTTCCAACTGACAGCTCTGTCTGTCCCCAGCAGGGAGAGGCTAAATAAAACCGTGCACATCCATAGCAGTCTGAATCCATAAATAGTTCCACTGCTTTTGCTTAAATCAAAGCTTTTTTTGTGAATTAGAGCTGGCTGTGTGTGAAGCCAGCTCAGATGCTGCTCTGTTCTGCTGCTGTCTTGGCTCCAATATTGCGTCTGAGACAGGAACTGCTTCTTTGGGCTCTAAAGATGGTCAATACTGTGCAAAAAGAGACATCTGAGTCTCTGGAAGGTTTGTCTTGTGTTGAAATGAAATGCTTCTTGGTGACAAGCTTGCCCACCCTGGCACATTAAATTGCCCAGTCCCTAAACATTACATAGACCATGGAGAGGGTGATCAGTTCTTCTGCAGTTCTTCTTATGTGTTTATATAGTCCTCCTTAGGCTTGAATTCCCATTTCCTGCTGCTATCCTTGACAGTCAGTGTCCAAACTCAACGAAGCACACCCTCATTCAATGTGCTTGTAAGCGAACTTGTTTTGGAGTGGTGATCTTGCCAAATTTGAAATTAGGAAGGCGAGGGGTAAAGAACAGAACTGCTTTTAAAGTTTTGAGTTTAAATATGAGTCCAGCTTTAAGGTCTGCTTCAGATTTAATATGAGCTTACCAGCAGGTGGCTGTCATCAGTTTCACTTCTATAAAAGTAGGTCAGATAGAAGGAAGATTTAATTAAATGTCTTGGATGCTTGGATCCTGGTGATGACTTGCATATGTGCTCTGCAAAGGTGATCCAGTGTCAGGGTCTGCTGGCAAGATCCCCCCAGTGTGAAAATCCTTTTTCCCCTAGCCCAGCAGCTGAAGAAGAGGTCTGGAATGCGTGAAGCCGAGTTTTCAAGGTTGTTTATTTTTCCTTACCTATAATAGCTTCTCTCTGACCTGCCGAGGTCCAGCTAGCACAGAAGCCATGGCAGTCTCCTCTGAGCCCCGGGCGTCTCTCACATTATATGCTCAAAACTACGTGCACTATGTTTACAGTTCCTGTACCAATACCTAAGATCTATGTTGGACAGTGTGTCCCTATCCTAGACCAATAGAAAAGTGTCACCATCACACCAAGACATGGAGGAAGAGAAGAAGGAAAGCTAGGGCACACCCATATTCCTCCATCTTGTACCCCTGAATTACATTCTAAAAAATCCCAAAATTCTACTTTTCCACTCTGTGTCAATTTCCCTATTATACTACTTGAAGCCTTCTGGCTTGTAATTCCTCATATATAGTTGGCAGCCTCTCCCATGGACTAAAATCAAAGCCACAGGTGTTTTTGACTTCTTGCGAAGGTCCCTGAGCCCCTTGCTAGGGTCTTGAGGCATCCGGGGCAGTTAGAGGGATGTTCTGGACTCCAACAATTTTCTTTTTTTAGTAAGATTTATGTAACAAATTAAGACTTCTATAGTCTGTTTCTCCTGTATGAAATTGTAAGCTGTTGATGATCAATGCATTTTTGCTTCTGCAGCAGCTCAACTAAATTAAATGTATATCATGTCAAACTAATTTTGAAAGGTTTTTTGTTCCAGTATTATCTGAAGTACAGAGTTCTTGGAAGTAAAATTTTGGTTTAGGAGTGCATATGGAGTGGTATTCTGGTGCAACATGTAAATCTCCTTGGACTAATCTTTTACCGAACAAAACAGGTCCTAAGAATGTTTTATTCATGCTAGGTTTACCTTAAAATAATTTTGAAAATTACAAAGTAAGTACTTGTTCAAAGATGGTGTGCTCTGTGAAAATTGCTGAGTGTGTTGTAGACATTTCCCCACATGGTGAAGGTGTGCTGCTGATGCTAAAAATGCCAGCAGGATGGAAGAAGTAATGATAGGATAAAATGAAAATGGCTCCTCAGGTGTTTTGTTTTCTAAAAAAAGAACCAAAACCCCCACAATTGTCTTTTGCCTTCCAGAGCTCACCAGGGAGTAGCTTCAGTCACTTCTTAGCTAAATTGTGTTGCCTCTGAACATCCCATTAAGGTTCTTAGAAGTCTTTAATGTAACATTGAAATGGGTGTGAAGGATCCCTTCAGAGGGTTTAATATTATGACTATTTTAGTTTATAAGGCTTTACCTCCTTCCTGATTTTGAACATGGCTTAAACAAGGATGCTTTCATTAGAATGTGGACTGAACTTAGGACTATAACTGGCTCCATAAAAGCACAGTAAAAACTTTAAATGCTTTAGAAGAGATTTTCCTTTCTTGGCTAGTAATACTTACGTCCTTGAAATGTGATTATTTTTTATAATTTTGAAACTGTCTCGAAGCAGAAGTTCATAAACATTTATTTACTCTGCTTTTCTGAGGGTTTTTTGGTAAATAAACATCTCTGTATTTTCTCAGTAAAGTGCCTGCTAGGATGTCTACTTACAGAATCACAATATCTATCATATTTTATCTGTCATATCATACAAAAGAATCCTCCTTTGTGAATTAAAATAAAATATTGTTTCATCAGGCAGATATTGTACTCATCATAGCATTTCCAGACTTTTGATAGCAAAATTAACAAGTGGGAAGTACTGTCATGAACAGTGCATTCGTCATAGATATTAGACCTTTGTGTTAACCTCAGGCTGGTAATTCTGGGCAGGCAAATGGAAGGGACCAAAATTTTGTTAGGCGGTAACTGAGGATGGAGAGGCACAATTGTGCACTCCTGGTGTAGTGCAAAAGCATTTGATAATATACCTTACGGTTAAACGTTTGTGCAATTTGGGTGACTTCTGACTTAGAATGTAATGTGTGTGAGTGTGTTAATTTCTACTGTGCACTTATGAGCTAAGTTTAGAAACCTAAACTTCCCCTGATTCCACTTAATGACAAGTATGCTACATCTAGGAAACAAAAATGTGACATGGTTTTCTTGCAGGATGAAGGCATTGACTTTGACAGTAGATGGGAGGGATTCTTTTGCATCTGAGTAATACTGCAAAATGAAAGCCAGTTTTACCAGAATTGTCTGGACAGTAGCTTCTTTCCAAGGTCTTATTTCTTTAGCAATTACACTTAAGTTTCAGCTTTGCACCTTGCAAAAAAGCTATCAGTTTTTAAATTAAATTATAAGTTTCCTCTTCATTTAATGAGTCTTTTTAGACAAATTGGATGTTATTGAGGGGGGAAAATGCTTGGAGGCAGGCACCAGGGCATTGTAGATCATTAATTTTCTGAAGTTTATAAGCAGCTGATGACAAAGGCAAAATGTGTTAGCTTGGCTTGCACAAAGCAACTGTTCTACTTGTTTAGAGCTGTGCATGTCACTGTGAGTTCTCAGTTCTATATAAAGGGCATTTGTTTCTCTGGGTGTTGATTTAGCATAGTATCTTTCCAGTTGACACTGGATGTGAAATAAACTTCTTGGCTGTATTGAAAAGTATTTTTCATGTTAATTGGTTTTTGTATTTAACAATAAAAGCAAGGCAGTTTATTCTGATTTTATGACTTAATAATTTTGAAAATATTTGTTACAATAATGAAAGCTTGTGTCTTTTAATTGGTAACATATATTGCTTTTGTATTTTCTGTTTTCTTCTGTTTAGGTTAAAAACTTTGCTGTTATTTATCTTGTGGATATCACTGAAGTACCAGACTTCAACAAGATGTACGAGTTGTATGACCCCTGTACCGTTATGTTTTTCTTCAGGTATGTGATGGTTATGGAATATAACTAATTTAAACTTTGTTTGTCAAATAGAGTGTCTCAGCAGATCATTTCCAAATGCATAATAGCACACTGATGCCTATATTTACATTGCTCTACAGAAGAGTAAACTGATTTTATAGGAAAATGGCTTGTTTTCCAATTAGCCTGGTAACAATAGTAACATAGCAGTCAAGTTTGACAATCTTACTTTCAAGATAAATCAAAAGTAATAGTTTTTTTGGAGTTAAGGTTTCTACATTGATGAGATAAAATGTTCTACTGACAAGCATGGACATCTCTCTGGAGATAGACAGTAGTGGGAAAGAAATACAAACAGTAAGGAATATGCTGAAGGATACTTGCATTGAGTAACCATTTTGGGGACATGTTGGAACTCAAAATGTCCCTCAGATAGTTGTTTGGAGTCCTTATTCTTGCTTTAAAAATTGGCAGTAAAATGAGAGGACTACTGCTTGTTTTGCAAGCCTGTTTATGTTATAAGGACTTCCTTTGATCATACAAAGCATTTGGAGTGGGGTATAAGACTTCTTTGTGAATTATAATACCATATTAACTTGTTTTTTTGTTCTTCCTCTTTGAAGGAACAAGCACATCATGATTGATTTAGGTACAGGTAATAACAACAAGATCAACTGGGCAATGGAAGATAAGCAGGAGATGATTGACATTATAGAAACTGTTTACAGAGGAGCCCGCAAAGGTCGAGGTTTGGTGGTATCACCAAAAGATTATTCTACTAAATACAGATATTGATGTTTCTTTGGGCTGCCTTTTTTCATAATCCTGTGTTCAGTTACATTTATTTCTGTGTATGTGTGTACATATATGTATATTAAAAGAAAAAAAAAGTACAAGTCTTTGAATATTGAGCATAATTCGAATTATTTAAAAGATTTGAATTCTGTTTGAGAAGTAGAAAACTCAAAGCCTGGAACTGTCCTGAATATTACTGCAGTAATATTGTAGCTGAATTTTTGGGTTTTCTTTTTTAAAGATTCTCCTTTGTTGTCTCTTTGGTATTACCTATTTTTTGTACACAAAAAGTCTGTTTGCAGAAAAACATTTCAAATGGTTTAAGTTGCTTTTATTACACAAATAGCTGGGAAAACTATACTATAGTTTTTTCAAAGAATAAAGTGAGTTCCACTTATGCACCTTAATTTTTTTCAGCTAATGAAATTTGACAATGAATACATATGTAATTGGGTGCAAGTCCATAATGTTGAAGATGACTTCTGTTGGGATTTCCTTGTATATCTTACTAGTCCCCTGTATCCATTAAAAATGTGAATAAAACAAGGTACATTTATTAGTATTTAGCAAAACCCAGAGAAAACATCTCCTGTGACTTTGCTCACTGCCACACCCCCATCAGCCTGATGGACTTGTAGTGCCAGACTCCTTTTTCATGGTGGCTGTGCACTCACTTTGAAGCACTTGGTGAATTCTGCAGTGCCAAAGCATAACTGCACTTCTAGAGCTGGCTGCAGACAGCAGCTGAGGAAACCAAAACCTGTGCTGTCACTTGACCTCCAGTTTGCCTAATAATATACCAAAATGCACATGGACTTGGGAGACTTGGATGACTTGGATTGGATTCCACTGTGGCATAGCTTTTGAAATTTCCATTTGCATTTCTGACAACTTTTATGGTAATGGAGTTGATATTGTGTGGGGACTTGTTTGTTTTTTAGACTGATACATGCATGTTTACAAGATTAATTAAAACCAAACCAGGCTAGCTGCTTTTCCAGAAAGAAGAAATCCAATTTGTTACAAGACGAAGAATTTACTTCTACTACCAAATGTGTTGTAGAGGATTTAGAAAGTGTGAAGAAAGTAAAACAAAAGGGTCTAAATTTCTGCTGAAGTTAATCTGGTTTAGAGTGGTTCTTGATTTTGGAATAATTTATGTTGGAAAGGAATGTCAGCCTCCTAGTCATAATAGGTTTCACATGGTCAGATTGCCCAGAATTGTGTCCAGTGTTGAGCATCTTGGACTAGAAGATCTTCAAGATGTCTTCCAACTTTGATGATTCCTTGTTCTCTAAAGATGGAGATTCTTTGGCCTTTCTGGAAGGCCTGTTCTGCTTTGAGCACCTTCATAATTAAAAAAGGTGTTCCTTGCACCTAGCTGGAATTTTCTGTGTTTCAGCTTGTGTTGAGTAACCCTGGTGTACACCACCTTCAACAAGACTGTGTTCTGCTGTGGGTGTCCTGGTTGACAGCAAGAAGCCATGGTCCGTTCTTAAGGCTGGACTAACAGATTTCTTCCAAGCCATGTATCTGCTATACTCTATCCTGGTGGCTCCATTTTACTTCCCTCACACCACTGCATCTGTTGAACTGGGCAGCCCCTAAACTGACAGAATATTGTGGGTGTAGTCTCCTGGTGAGGTGAATGGAGGGGGAATTACTTGCTGGCCCCATTTTGTGCTCATTGTGACCAGTGTGTTGCTGCAGCCCTTGCTGCCTGGGCACCCTGCTCACTTAGTCAACCTTTCCTCCAGATGCCTTTCCTGCAAAGCAGTGCCAGCTAGCCTCTCACACCTGCCCAGCTTGGCAAGGTCTTGTTGGCCCGCTTCTCCAGCCTGTCCTCCAGCATACCAACCTCTCCACCCAGTCTGACAGTACGTGCAAGTCTACACTGATTAAAGCATTAATTGGAATGATTTCTTGGTATTAATGAAGGCTGTAATAAAAGCATTTTGCCCTGATTAGCTGAGGTATTCTGTTAACCTGGCAATGCTTCAATTTCAATTTATGGTAAAAAGTTTCCATTATATTTCAAATTAAATCTTCCCTGCAAAGACTACAGTGTTTTGGTGTACAATCACTTTAACTTCAGTGCAGATAGCCTGTTTTCTGACTACCAATTTCTTCTGGACATGCCTGGCAACTAGAATTCCCCATCTATTTCCAGGTCTTTAAATAAAATAAACTGTTTTCATCAAAACAGGTAACATTAAAGAACTGAAATTGTCACAATATAAATATCTGGGTGATGTTACCTGCACTGGTGTGCACAGCTTTAGGTGGGCTTGTGAAAAGAACAAAAACCGAGCAGTTGTAGCATACAAATGCTGCCATTTTTTAGTACAGAATGGTTTATTCTAAGAACATATAAGCTAAAAAGGCAACAAATATTACTGTTTTAATTTTAAAATAAATACATTTTCATACATTGAAAATATTTGTGATTGGGTAAGTTCATATATAGGATATAGTTTTCTATGCAAAATAATGGCTTTGCCTTCTCTGAAACCAACAGTTCTTTTTCAGCTCCAGGAAATAGTGTCCGCTTAGATGAACAAACACAGCTTTCTATTTTTTTTTTCCTGGTGCAATAGTTAAAAATTTTTTTCAAGGTTCTGTTATGATACAAACACATTTGTTTTCCCTTAACATTTTTTGTCAGTGTGACACTTGACTGTAAAATCTTGGGGTCAGTGCTATGCTGTTCTGCCCTTAATCTTCCTTGAACACATCCTCATTTCAGTGCTGCAAAGATCGAGTGAATAAGTAGGATAGTGATTTATTAATGAATGTGATTCAGCATGGAGATAGGAAGATCTCTGTACAGTTAAATACACCTTTGTGGATTGTCTTTCTGCATTTCTGAAAATTATTGCGTACCTTGTGCAAAAGGCATGAGAATGAACAGATACCTAAATTACTTCAGAATGTTTGCAGACATTTCTGTCTTTCACTGGGTAAGAATTTCAATGACAAGAATAATTGATGTGTCTCAATTTGAATTAGGAAAGTGTGCAACAACAGGAAGACAATGTCACTTGCATCCACAGAACAGGGAAGCAGTGTTGTCTGTTAAATAATAAGAACACAGAGTTGCGCATCTATCAGGGAGACGGCTGGCATTTGCAACAGACTTATAAAATCCAAAACAATCCTGAAATTTTATATTATGAAGTGATTGACAATAGTTTACTGCTGTGTTTAGGGTGAGTGCATGTGAGAGATGTGCTCCAGGCCACACTAGGAAGCTGTAGCAGGTTTAAAAGCACAGGTACATAAATTTATACCAGCAAGAATCCTCAGCTAGGTCAGCATACCTGAGGGGCAGGAATGGTGGGCAGGAACACTTCAAGCCACGCACATGGATGGACAGCCTCGGTTTACATACTTGGTAAGTTAGCCACTGCCCCCTTATATATTGCACTCAGCTGGAACAGAGGCAGCAAGATGCAGTTTTTCTTTTGTGAAAATAATCACATTCTTTCTCTCTCGGCAAAAAAAATTCCAAGGTATATTAAATATGTTTTTAACGAGTACACGTTCAAATCCAAGAAAATGCAGGTCTACTAAATATGTAAACACCATTACTCGCCCATCACTCCAAAACTAAATGGAAATTTATAAAACACAGAAAAACTTAAGTAAATGTCTTTACTCCCAAGTCTTCATCACTGTTTTCTACCCCAGCCTCTGTCATCAGGTCAGCAACACGCTTCTCAAGGTCACTGATGTGCTTGCCCATTTCTTCTGGTAAAAAGTTAAAGATAACTTCTATAAATAAGAGTTCTACAATTTTACAGGTTTTTTCCTCCAGAAGAAGAACAAGCAGCTTTCTTCCAGATATGTCAGCCTTTTACTTGTTCATGGTTAATGCAAGATGAAGCACACACAATGTGGTATTGTTAGAACACAATCCCACGTTCTTTTGTGACAGATAAGCATTCAAATTCTTAGTATCAAAAGCCTTTGCAAGTACTCATGAGTGAACTGTGTTAAGAGATTGTTTTCTTTCTGAGGAACTTTTTTAGGTGATACCATACAGGTAACCTACAGAATCAGGATATGAGTGCTACTCGAACATGGTCAAGTTTCTGAAAAATAAATAAATAAATAAATAATAGCTTCAGAAAGCAGAGGTAGTTTCTGTAAGCACATCTGACAAGAAAGCTCAGAGCCCCTTCAGGTCTGATTTTCGTCTTTTGAGGGCTCACCTTGTTATACTTAGGCCAACAGCTGCTTTTAAACCGTGGCTCATTTGAGTGCATTTTTGGAAATTGATGCTTTTAAAATGCACTTTCAAAATCTTTACACATAATTCAATGCTTATTTTACTTGGAAGCCAGAATTGTTTCACAGAGGCTACCTTACTACTTGTAGTGAAACAGTTTTTAGGACTTCCTTCTTAGACAAAGGGATCGATAAACAGGCGGGCGAGAGTCAGGTGCCTTTACGTCATAGGTGTTTACCCACATCACACATTTTACGCTAATTTGATGTTTAAGAAAGAAGCCCATCCCACTGTTAGAAGCAAAGACCTCGCCCACACTCATCAGCGGGGGGCCCCACCCGCGGGATTCCAAACCCAGCCGCGGTACCCCACGTTCCAAAGAGGATATTTCTCAGCGTCAGCTTCTCCGTCAGAGCCTCAAAATTCTCCTGCAGCCGGCAGAGCAGATTTTCCGCCTGCGGAGGAGGAAGGGAATATAAGCCCGGGGGAAGCAGAAGGCAGCGGCCCCGCAGGCAGGGCCCCCCGGCCGGTCCCGCTCACCAGCTGCGGCAGCTCCGCGGCTCCCCGCGGCTCGGCGGCCGCCATCGGCCCCGGCCCCGGCCCCGGCCCCGGCCCCGGCCCCGGCCCCGGCCCCGGCCCCGGCCCCGGCCCCGGCCCCGGCCCCGGCCCCGGCCCCGGCCCCGCGGCGGGGCGGGGCGGGGCGGGCAGAGCGCACGGCCCCGCCCGCAGCGCTCCGAGGGGAGCCGGGAAACCCTTACCTGCCGGCCCTCTATTTGCTGAAGCAATCGTCGTTCCGCGCGGCAGTAACTAAATATGGATGGCGAGGTTTGATCTTAAGAGATCTTACAATTTTTTTTTTTAAGGTTTTCTTCCTTTTCCCTCGTGCAGTTAGTTTTGTGAGATGGAGTGGTAAAAATATTGTGGTGGTTGAAGTTCCTTGCATTGCAGTATCGAGCGAGACAACATCAAAGGCATCGACAAGAGTCGTATGGTGCCTCTTGCAGCACCAGCATCTAGGTCATCCCTGGCTTTTGGGCTGCACCGCGTGAAAAAGCTCTCGGTGCATCTATTGCAGAGATGTCTTTCTTCTGGATGCTGGTACTGTTGCCCGATGTAAATGAAGAGGTTTTCAGTTTACTGTGTCTGTAGGGTTAGGAGCATATCACTGTTGGGCAATAAATTACCTTAGTAAATGACTTTTGAGTAATTACATACACTAGATATGCCAAATACGTGTCTTCATCCACAAAAAAATTCTGAGCTGGGAATTACTTCAGTTGCTGTAAGCCTACCACTTAGAATCTTTCGTAATAAACTTAATTGTTTTCCTTCGTGATCTTCCCCACCTCATTTGAGAGGGTGTGTTAATCTCTGAGGTAAAATTCTGGCATCAACGCAAACCTCCGCATTGCTACCTGATTCCCATAATTGTAGTGTCTCTGTACAGCCTTATTTCTTCCCACTCTTGCAGGTAGTCCTTGTTGTAGAAAAAAATTAAGCACATTTTGCAAAGCTTGAGCATTCTATCAGTATTACAGCTCTAGAAAGCTTCTAGATAAACAATTTGAACAACATTATGCATGTAGATAGGGTTTGCTTTTGTATGTAGCCACTAGCTTCAACCATACAGCCTTTTTGTTTTGTTGCATAAGGAGCAATGGTGCTCCTTACCTGTTTCTTTGTCAATAAATATTCTTTCCTTTAAGGCTAGGTAGTAGTAGTAAGTAGAGCTGTAGTATTTTTGCATTTTTACTTCTGATAAGAGCCACGGTCTTCCTGGTTTTCCCTCCTTCCAGAAGAGCTAAAAATCTCTCTCAAGCAAGAGTATTTTTCACCCAGAGGCAAAGTGGCTCTGTCTGCTTGTGCCCAGTTGAACAAAGCCACAGAGTCCTATTTGTAGTGAAGAGTTTGCAAGGATAAAGAACCAGCTGGAAATGCAGAGGAGCAAGCATTTATACAACCAACCAATTTGCAGGAATCTCACTACATCTTTGTAGTGCCACATTTTAGCAATGGCCAGGTTAGAGTTCAACTGAAAACAAACACAACGCCATAAAGGCTTTCTGTAATTAGCTCCTCGTTTTTGCGAGGTAGGTAGGTGTGGTCAAAAGAAAAAAAACCATACTATCTAGCTGGCACACCAATGAAGGAAAGGCAATTAAAAGCGTGAAAGAGACTGAAAAATATTTACCATGCATTTCCCCCTTCAAAGGTCTGGTTCTTTTACTTTGTGGGCTCAGCAGCTGATGTGAACGGCCCTCTTAGTTCAGATCTGGAGCTGAATTAGGCCAATGGTGCACAGCTGGGTTTATGAAATAAAAACATAAGTGTCTTTAAAGCTAAAAGTAGCCATGGAAAAGTTCCAAACTTCAGAAAGTCTAAGAATAGAAGAGACAAATGGCAAGACCAAACAGACTTTGCTTAAAAATGTATTTACTTATAATAGAACTAGGATGCTTGGTTTTCACTCTGCTGTTCTCTAATCTCTCCCTTTTTACAGGGCTTTTTAGAAGTTCAGATTTGAGCTGTTGCATACATTTCCAGGGTCTGAAATCTGGGGGATGTAAGATGAGCCATAGTTTAAAAGCATAGTCCATGTTGGGCAAGCACCCATGGGCTAAGGGAAGCTGAGTGAAGACCCTTTGGTTTTGTTTTGTTTCAAAAGAAGAAGGCTAGCTGAGAACCAAACCACCAGTGCTCATAAGAGTATTTACTGCAATAAGGATGCTTAATTTTATAAAAGGATAACATGTTCATTTTGACAATGAGTACAAAAACAGGTCATGAGGAGTTTTGAGAAAGGAGCAAAAGAGAAGATTTGACAACAAATTCTTTTTCCATTCCAAAATACGCTCTATGCTACTTTCTTTCAGAAAAAAGCTTAGACTTTAGTCACTTTCAGTCTAAATATGTCTTCTTGATATGAAGAACATGAAGTAAAAATAAAACTGGGGTGACCTTGAGGCTGAGGTACCATCTGCTTCCATCCTATTTCAGTATTGCAGACCTGTGCTGTGAACTCTTCACAGTGTGTGCTGAAATGGTGTCCAAAGCATGCTTCTATTGCTCTTTCTTAGGGAAATTCCAGTCCCTCCACTGCTGGAAGGAGAAGTCAGAGTAGCAGGGTAGGACATAAAAGCATGTTGAAACATTTATAAGACCTAAGCTCCAAGTTCACTTCCATGCTGTAAAAGGCTGTGGTGTGGCAAGGTAGAAGAACTGTTGTAGAAATGCATTACTCTTATTGTTTGGATGTTGCACAGAACCTCTTTTCCTCCTTTTGGCAACAAATAAATATACAATGGGTAAGGAATCCCTTGGTTGTATACTCCAAGCATGTCTGGCTCAGGGTTGCTTTGGAATGGAGGTGAGGCCAGAGAGAGGACATCTCAAAGAGAAGCTGAATATGGAATGTGTAGTAAGAAAGAAAACAGGAATTTAGTCCTGGAAGAAGACAAGGAGGCAAGTGCTCCTGGACCAACATGGCAGCTTGTTTGACTGCAGATCAGAAGGCAGGATGCAAACGGTACTGTAAATATTGCAGGTTTGCTTTTTTTTCTTCCTGGCAGAGGCATGGTCAACACTAAAAGTTTTCTCTGAAGAGAAAAGGGCTAGGTACAAGACCGTGCTTGCAGCACAATCAGGGTATTTTTGCTAACAGATTGTTGGCTTGGGTCTTTGAGTTTGGTCCTTCCCTCTCAGGTAGCTTCTCTTATGTCACTTTGCAGTTGTTATTCAGAGGAACACAATGCCTAGAAAAAGATCTGGCTTTGCTAGGTCATCAGCTTTTATGTGCAGCAATCCCAAATGGTGCTGATGGTTCTTTTAGCGAACTTTGGCATTTACCCTATCTTTTGATTCAGCATAATGCAGTTCACTGAAAACTTGCTCCACTGGAGTACTTCCTGGTAAATTAAAAGTGTGGTAAAGGCATTACTTTCCTTTCATATGGTCACATCAGCAGACCAACAAGCTGTTATTTAAAAGCACGGAAAGATGTGGTGAGTGAAATGCAAATGCCTCGGGCAGGGGAAAAGGCATTCAGGTCAATGGTGTCTGACAGCTGGTGCTCTTTTGGTAGATGAAGTCATTTGAGATGAATATTAAAAGCCTGGTTGTTTGCTCATGGTTCAAATTTCAGGTTCTGTATCTTTGAAGAGAAAAAGGGTAATTCCAGCCGTTGGAAACCTGATCGTTGATGGAGGTGCTCTGCCTTTAATAAAAGTGTTCTTTATAAACTTTAATAAAAGTAATAAAAGATTTGTCACTGCTGCTCAAAAATCCCCTTATTGTGAAATATTTCAGCCAGCCCCTTTCTGCAAGTATCTATAGAAAGAAAACTGAAAGGATTAAGGATAATCTTGATCAGATGTTCAGTGTGTGCTGTGGGCATCATGTACTGCTAAGTAGCTGTAACAGAACACAGGGTGTAATTTTCCCTGTAAGTGTATTGCACCAGGATAAATGCAGGAGCAGCAGAAAGGTGGCTTTGGAGGCTGGTCTGATGGGTGGTGGTGGCATCCTTTCGCTCTGTGAAGAGCTGTGTGTAATTCACAACAGGTGAAATCACCCACCTGGCTGCTGTTGACTGCATTATTATCTGGTGATCCGGAAATCTCCAGCTATGTTTCCTGGACATGGCTGGTAAGAGGTGTTGCTTCCCATGCTTTTTTCTGCTCCAGTCTTGTTCTGTTGTCTTTGGATAGTGAGGATGAAGGAATATTCACCACTCAGCTTCCCTCCAGAAAGGCTGCAGGAGGGAGCTGGAGGTGTTTGTCCCTGGTGGGAGAGGGAGTAGGGTCTGATTCTCTGGCCTGGTGGCCTGCTGCTGGCATGCCTGGCACTGCTTGGGGCTGTGTTAAAACCACCCCATGGTGGCTTTGCTCCTCACGCGTGCACAGAGGAGCTTCTTGAAGCAAACACAGTGTGTAACACCTCTGCTATGAGGGCAGGGTGGGCAGACCCTGCAGCACAAGGACAGGCAGCTGACCTCATGGGTTCAGATCCCACAGCCTGGTGTGGCTGTCTTTCAGGGAACTCATGGTCCAGCGCAGCATGTGCATTTTTTGCGCAGATATTAAACATGGCATGTGCTGTGCTGTATGATGGAAAGAGTATTTTTCTAAAATATTTGATAAAGAGGGTCTGTGCTGAAGAGGCTGGAAGCTGAACAAAGGAGGGAGTGGTTCACTGGAAAATGCCCATTTTGCATTTCCAGAAGGTGTAAAGAACTGTGGGTAAAGTTTCATGTGACCAAACTGCAGTTATGCTAATGTTTCCTTCTAGCTTCAGACACAATTTTTCTCAGAGGAGGCAACTGGACTGTCTCCCTGTTACAGGCAGTTTAAATTCACCTTGAATTAATGGAAAGCACTTAATATGGTTGCATAAAAAGTGAGTTGATTTGGGCAAATATGGGCAATAAGACTGGGAAACATTGGGCATAGGATGCATGCTCTAACAGCAAGATGTGGTTCAGTGAGCAATGACAGTAATAAAAAAAGCCAAGACTGTGAGACTGTGGTAAGCTGATTCTTTGGCACTTTTTGCTTTTTCTTCTTTTTTTTTTTTTTTTTTTTTTTTTTTTTTTTTTTTTTTTTTTTTTT